ACACAGACCATACCTTCGCGTTCGCGTTCGCGTTCGCGTCCTCCCCTTCGCGAATGCGAAGAACAAAACCTCATACTCAGAAAACACTCTTCGTGAACGCGAGGGACCACTCGCGAACGCGAAAGAGAAAAATTAGAAAAATGCAGCAACAGATATCAGCAATCTCACCCAGGCCAAAAATGATCTGTTAACCTCCCAGAACTCACCCGAGCCCCTCGGGACCTCAACCAAATATACCGACAAGTCCTAAAATATCATACGAACTTAGTCGAGCCCTCAAATCACCTCAAACAACGCTAAAACCATGAATTGCACCTCAATTCAAGCCTAATGAACTTTGAAACTTTTAATTTCTACAAACGACGCCGGAACCTATCAAATCACGTCCGATTGACCTCAAATTTTGCACACCAATCATAAACAACATAACGGAGCTATGAAAATTTTCAGAACTGGATTCCGACCTTGATATCAAAAAATCAACCCCCCGGTCAAACTTCCCAAAAATTTAACTTTCGGCATTTCAAGCCAAATTCCACTACGTACTTCCAAATAATTTTCCGGATACGATCCTAAGTCCAAAATCACCATACAGAGCTATTGGAATCATCAAAACTCCATTCCGGGGTCGTTTACACATAAGTCAATATCCGGTCACTATTAAAACTTAAACTTTAAACCTTGGAACTAAGTGTTCCAATTCATTCCAAAACCTCACCGGACCCGAACCAATTACCCCGACAAGTCACACAACAACTGTAAAGTACAATTTGAGCAGTGAATGGGGAAACAGAGTTGTAATACTCAAAACGACTAGTCGGGTCGTTACATTCTCCCCCACTTAAACATACTTTTGTCCTCGTACGTGCCAAGAGTTGTTTCCAAGCCATCAAATCATTGTTCCATCTTACCACACACGTACCCGGGGGTAAACCCGCGTCACCCTATTCTATATAGGCTTGACAACACAATCCAACTGAATTTATTAATTTAACTCTAGCCCATAAATCTTGGAATTTAATTTCTAACCTTTAGAATTTCTTTCAAGACACGAATATTACATTTACACACTTTATGAGTTTGAACAAGCTGTATCAAGCCATAACTATCACCATAACCACGAACATAATCACCTAACATATTACACAACTCGCATGCTCGTAGCACCATTCCTGCTCGCAGTGACTACTCCAAAACCAACCGCATACTAGTATTAAACCCATATCGAACCAAACCTCATCCCAAAACCTTCGTACACTGTTGATAATAAAAGAAACACGTGAAATTTCATGACCAATTACCAGATCAACAAGTCACGGAGCTCTCTTGCCCCAACCAGAACTATAATCACTTTCTGAGCCGACTTTCAATATTATACTCCCGAATATACCGAAATTAAACCTGATAGTACCCATTCCAGGTCCAATGACCTTATATTTCTAAACATAACTGTTCCACAGACATACCACACCAATATAACTCGGAGCCACAACCCGTGCCATCCGTGCACCAATACGCAACATTCAAATGTATCCAGTCATGGAAAATGACTCAAATGAGAGAACTACCCCACCAGATTAACAAGTACCACCACAACGAAATGCTGAAAATTCATCATACACCGTAGAACCATCACCCGATTCTAACACGAGGTTCATATTATATACTCCGAGCCACCCTGCTCCAAATTAATAACGACAGAGAGGCAAATGGAAAAAATACCACATAAAACCTGAAAGGACATAACCATTACGCTATCGATCATGCAATACCCAAATACTCATCACACTCAAATTTCGCTATAAAGCTCGAATAGAACCGCACCATCTGTGCACATAACCAATGAATCACAACTCCTCGTAGCATAAAGGAGTAACTCACAGATCATTTCAGAATACGCATAAGTTCAACATAAACTGAACGACACATCCCTCAACAATAGCAGTATGGAACCAACCATTCCGGCTCGGTGTAGAATACATATCTTAATTGGGCCTACCCACAAATAGATAAAAATCCCTCCGAAAATTCATAATGACTGAATCACAATATATTCTATCATCTGGTTAGCTCCGTCCACAACTTCACAGTCCACAACCATGAAACAATTAGCTCCTAAGAACTCCCAAATCTCCAAATCCATAGAACTCAAACTGTCTGTGTAGCTCCTCTCTACAGGACTGAGGCACGAACTTCTCCAAAAAAACCACGTAGAACTGCTGCTACGTAAGGGGTGCTGCGCCAACAGGCCTACGCCTCTCGTAAGTCTCCCACCATCTGAGTGCAGCCCCAGAAAACTGAAAAGTAGTGAATGAGACCCCACAACACAAGTCTCCAGAATACCAGTTGTACGGAGTATCCTCTAATACCTATCCAAGAAGTCCTGGACATCCTCTCTCGCTGTGCCACTGAAAGGTGGAGGCTGGAGTCTCCCAAACTTCTCCAACCTAAGCTGATCATCCTCAGGCATAGCAGGAACCACATAGTCCTGAGCATCTGCAACCGGCTAGGCTGGTGGTGCCCCCAATGTCTGGAGTCCCTGAACAACCTACACGGGTGTACGAGCGGTGGGAGTTTGAGTGCCTCTCCCGGCCTGAGAAGTGGCTACGACCGTCGAGATAGAGAACGCCTAAGCAAGGCCGATACACGCTGCCAAAATCTAAGCTAGGGCATCCTGAAGGCCTGAAATCATAATAGGCACATGTGGTGCCTGAGCTGGTGCATCAACAACTGGAATCTGATCATGATCTGGGAAAACTGGTGGGTCTGCAAGTACTGCCCCAACTGTTGTGCGGGCTGCACATCTGCCCCCACCACAGCCTCTACCACGACCTCGGCCTCTCACGGCCCTGGCTGGTTGTACTGGTGGCTGTCCATCCTGACCGATAGTACAAGTCCTCACCATCTGTGAGAGAATGAAACAACAGAAGTTTAGTTACCAGTATTAACAGATTCGCACGACAAGAATTCAAGAATGTGAGATTTCCTAAAGGTTCTGTAGGCTCTCGAAGATAAGTACAGACGTCTCCGTATCGATCCGCAAGACTCTACTAAACCCGCTCATAACTCATAAGACCTATGTAACCTAGGCTTTGATACCAACTTGTCACGACCCTAAACTCAAACCTGTCGTGATGGCACCTATCGATGGTACTAGGATAATCGACTCCCACAATACTACAACAATTCATTCAAAGATATGCCAAAAGGCGTCTTGTATAGCAGAATTTCATAAAAAAAACAAGGGTTGAACTCAAAAAAATATAAATGCGGAATGAAAAGCCCCAAACATCAGGGTGTCACTGAGTCATTAGCAACTACTAAAAACTGGTCCGACAACAAGACTAACATAGTCTGGGAAAAATCCAAAATACAACTAATGGGAAGATAAAGAAGAAGAAAACAAGGCTGCGATCGCCAGGCAGCTACCTTGCTAACTCCAATGATCAGCTACAAGAATATCAACAGCCGCTACTGTGACCAAAAATGCCTGGATCTGCACACAAGGTGTAAGGAGTAACATGAGTACACCAACTGAGTAAGCAACATAAGTAAATAAAGGCTGAGAAGTAGTGACGAGTTAAATGCAGGTACCGTTCATATCACAAGAATTTATTAAAGTACGACATGCTATGCAACCAGAGTTTAAGTCGAATCAGTTTGTTTAAATCAAGTTCAAGTAAGACAATCAGAAATGTATTTCAACGGTTCTCAAACAAGGACACAAAGCAACTATGAGCATGGATGATTAAAACATGTACTGCCCCTCGGGCTAACATCACTCAGTCCTCCCAATCACTCCAACCTCACAATCACTCAAGCCTCACAATCACTCAAGCCACACAATCACTCATGCCTCACAATCGTTCAGCACTCGGCACTCACACTCAGTAGGTACCTGCGCTCACTGGGGGTGTTCAGACTCCGGAGGGGCTCCTACAACCCAAGCGCTTTAATCTGCACGGACAACTCACGTGCTGCACGGACAACTCACGTAAATGAAAATGCTCATGAGGAAAGAGTAGAGTAATTAGCGGAGGAAAGAATAAACCAACAAGTTCAACAAAGGTGAAGCAACAAAACAAAAACCGAACAATATCATATTTGAAGCAGAAATTTTGGGTCAGAATTTTCAATAGAAATACACCTTTTAGTTTTTGATCGAACTATTTTTTTTTTCTTCTGAAAAAAAAAAAGAAAGTTACCAACTTCAGTGTCAATGAATTGAATCCCAATTCAGATTATTTTTATTTTCCTCTGCTGCAATTTTGACAATATCGTAATTGGATTTCCAGCGGTTGGATCAACACTTGATGAATTATAAAGCAAATAGAGAGAAGGAGCAGTGCAAAGTTTATGAAAATTAGAAGGAATACATGAAACTTGATAAAAGATGGAAAAATAACCTCTTTTTTTCTCATGGAAGAGAGAAGCTCGCCAAATTCATCTTTGTAATTTCTTCATGAATATTAGATTATGATTAAACTATGTCCAAAATTCTCTTCTGCAAACTATACAATGGTTGAACTAGAAAATAAGAAGGGCTTTGTGGTCAATGGTGATCCTTCTGATTGTGAAGGAGAACAAATGAAAGGTTTTGGGGGGATTTGCAAGGCCTCCAAACTACCTTCTAACATTTCTATTACCTTACCTATTGCTGGCCTTTGCAAAGGATCTGTTTGGATGCACCACAAACCAACTAATATCATTTTCTTTGCAATCTGTTTTTCTTCATTGGTAATTCTATCTCTTATATTTAGTTCTTCATCTAGTAAAATTCGTTGATAAGCCCAACGTGGGAAGTATATTTCACTTTGATTGTTTCTTTCAGCACTGTAGTTCTTTCTTCCTCCAACCATTTCGAGAACCATCATTCCGTAGCTATAAACATCAGATTTGTGTGATACTCCTCCGAAATTTCTACAGAACACCTCTGGAGCTATGTAACCAATGGTTCCTCGAGCTTCTAATGTGGACATTATGCTCTCTTTTCGAGTACATAATTTTGCTAAACCAAAATCAGATATCTTGGGGCAAAAGTCCTCGTCAAGAAGAATGTTGTGAGGTTTTATGTCGAAATGCAAAATTCGTGAGTTGCATCCTCTATGCAAATACTCCAGTCCTCGAGCTATCCCTAGTGCAATTTTGTACAACATTTCCCATCCCAATTTCAAATTTTCGTCGTATATGTGTTTATCAAGAGATCCATTTGGCATGAATTCATAAATCAAAGCTTTTTCCCGACGATTCAAACAAAATCCCACCAGAGTAACTATGTTGACATGAGAAGTTCGACTAATACTTGCAACTTCGTTAATGAAATCTTCTCCATTCCCCTCAGTCGCCTTTAAGATCTTCACAGCAACGGGATGGCCATTAAGGTTACCTTTGTAAACCCCTCCATAACCCCCTTCTCCAAGTTTCTCCTTAAAGGAATTTGTCATTTTCTTAATGTTTGAATAGCTATATGCCGTTGGGGCTAAAGATCCATACTGTCTCAGGAAGGCATCGACAATCCGATCTTCTGCGTACAATAGATCCTTGTGGTCCGACCCTTCTCTGGACCTCGCGCATAGCGGGAGCATAGTGCACCGGGCTGCCCTTGTTTTCCTAAATCGGAAGAAGCACATCAAGCAGCAGGTTACAGCTATTGCAGCCCCAACCGCCGCAGATAATGCTATAAACGGACAAAAGAAGAAAATAAGGTATTTGAGGAAACGATCAATATCACATAAACTAGTTTTGTGAAGTAAGCTTAGTCTCAGAACAGTAAATGCAGCTGCACCAACTGCTGCAAGAAGAAATGTTTATTGGAATTTTCTTGAGAATTCTTGAGCAGAGGAGGATAATAAGATAAAATTAAGGTGTACAAGTTAAAACAATATTCACCTATTCCAAGCTTCAGTCGGTTCTGTTTCTTCCTGAAACGGAGACATAAAGTTATTATCCGGAAAAAAAAGGTAGCCTGGTGCACTAAGTTCCCGCTATTGTTTTACCAGGGAAGGGCCGGACCACAACTTTACCAGTTACGCCAAGGCTCCGTTTCAGGTGATAATCTGATACTAAACAATAATTAATGTATCTCAATAAAGTATAACCACTCAACTGCTATCACCTATGTCTGACACATTTTTTCCTACATGATCAATACACAACAGAAAGAAAGTCATTAATAAGGGATACTTCCCTTCTTTTTTAATCTAGGAATTACGGAGATATTTTCTACTCAATGAATAAATGTGGTCAAACATGGATTTAAACTAATAATTTCTAGAATTACCATGAAGGCGTGTTCTTGTTTGGGGTTGGTCTTTTTAAATGCATATAAATTCATCATTGATATAATTAGAGTTGTGTTTGGAAATAAATATAATTTTGGGTTGTTTTTAAATTTTTGTGAGTAATGTGAGTGAAAATTTTGAAAAATAGATTTTGGTGGAGTTTTTCAAATTTTCGAAAAATTTTAAAATTCATTTTCCAATGAAAATTGAAATTTTATGGCCAATCACTGATTTCGAAAAAAAGTAAAAAAATTCTTATGTCCAAACGGCTCTTAAAGTAATCAGTAAGATTTAACCCAAATAATCGCTCACCTAACCACTTAAACTAAAAATAGCCGGTGGATGTATAATTTATGTATTACATGTGTATAATTAACGTATATGGATACAAAAAGTAAATAATAAATATGGTAGGTTATTTGTGTAAAATCCATCGGAAAGAAAACGTACCGTTGCAGTGATCAAACTTTAGGGTGCCATCTTTGCAATAGCACAAGGACTCGTTGGTTGAATTGTCGTAACCACAACGCCCCTCTGATGCCTCACACTTGCCGCACTCCGTTGCGACCCCCCAGTCCAGCACGAACCCCTCCTTCATAGCCGCAACAAGTCGTCTATTCAACTCCTCATCTATGACCGCACCGAGTTCTCGAATCCACCCACTGTCCATCACCGTCGCCACCACTTTCTTCTCACAAATTCCGTACCAATTCAAATGATCCGGCTCATTATCCTCAATATATAAATATGACTTGTTTCCACCTGAATTTAAGCAATCTAACGAACGACCAGATGAAAGCGAATTGATACAGTTAAAATAGAAAGTAAGGTTTAGATCAAGCTCTGAATATTTCAATGGCAAATCTCCCAGAGTGAGGTTATGATGTGCCCTGGGGCAATCTCTGCTATCAAAAGCATCAATATCTTCCAGGGTAAGGGAGTACGTGGTGTAATTTATGTGTTTAACGGCGAAAGAAACATTTGAAATGTTAAGAATTGGATCGGTTTGAGAGCAGTGGATCCCAAATCCTGGATAACCACAGTAAAGTGGAGATGTGAAGCTGTCAAAAGGATATGAAATGTTAATTCCATGGCAGATAGAGGAAGGGCAATATGCAAAGGACGTACTAGTATTAGTATTAGCTCCACTGGAGTTGATGAAGAGAAGAAGGAGAAGGACAAAGAGGAAGGAAAATAATTGACTTGGACACATGATGTTTGATGAAATGCAATACTGAGTATTGTGGTTTACATGTAGCTAAGAATATTAAATATTATATTTCTTATAATTGACTTAGTCATAGAGAAATTAGTAGCAAACTTCGATTTTGGTAGCTAAATTTCTCTTCCATACCTTATAGTCAAGACAGTCACATATATATAGGATCCAGACAAATTTGGTTTGAAAGTGATCGTAATTGTGATCAGTAAAGAAAGACAAGATGAAATTTCAATAATTTATTCATGGGAATAAAGGAATGTTGTATACGGTCAAAATCGGTTTTGACATTCGTATGATTAGTCAAGATTGGAACATAATGGACCGAAGATCGTCTTCATAATATCGAGATGAGATCTGCAGCCAGGCTATCGAGTTCAAGATTCAGGGACCGATCAGTACGGAGCTCGATATCAATATCGATCTATGATATGAAGTAGTGTTGTCGAGCTCAAGAGCCAGAGACCGACCAATACCGAGCCCGAGTCAATACCAAGTCCGAGTCAATATCGAGCTCGAAATCTGGAGATCGACCAATACCAAGTCCGACCAAGATCGAGCTAAGAGACAAGAGCCGATATAGCTGCACTAAGGGAGAGAATCTCGGCGAGGATTAAGGAAAAACTAATTAACTAATCTATCATGGGATCCCCACTATGTATTTTTTATATCCAAAGTAGGGTTTTCTCCACTATAAGAAGAATGACTATTATTTCTGTAAACGCATTCAACATTGAGTATCTATACACTCTCATATTCAGATATTATTGAGCTCTACGGATATATAACAAAGATTGTCCTTTTTTGATCCTTGTACATTGATTCATCTTGCCTGTTCATAAATCATTTTCTACTTAGTTTGGTTTGTATTTCATTCCTTTTTTACAGTCAATATTCGATATTTTTTTACTTATCTTTCCGATTTGTGCCAAGTTATACCGCGTATCCTTAGAACTACGTATGAATTCAACTCTATCCGTTTTTCGGGTAAACAGTTTGGCGCTCACCGTGGGGCTAAGGATAATAGTGGTTATTTGGCATGAATTTTTGTGAAACACACTATTTTACGCTTGCTCTTAGAAGTGTTTTTGATTTCAGGCTGAAAACAACGGATTCTCGATTAATGGCCCTACCTATCGACAACGAAGCAGGCCTTCAAGATGAGAACAGCAACTTGACACTCGGGGATGAAAGGCCGCTCGTCGATGCCGTTGGAGCTCGGGTCGAAGTGCCAATAGACGTTAATTCACATGTGGCCATTGAGGCAAACTAACTTTCCGACCCTGAAAATAGCATTCATGGTGGAACTCGATCTGCAGCTCGAAATACCCAAAACGTTGAGGAAAACGGAATCAGCTTGCGTATGATTTTCGAAATGTTGCAAGCTCAACAGGTAGCGATAGCTCAGTTGTAGAGCCAAACCCAGGCACCGAGCAGGCCGGAGCCCAGTCCATCCCGAGAAGTCACTCACGGAACGGGGTCAGCTATAGTAAGGTCAAATGAGCAAGAATCGGGGACTGATCCTGAAATTGCTAAGATGCTCGAGGAACTGAAAAAACGAATAGAGTCAGGAGAAAGGAGGATCGAAGCAAACGACAAAAAAATGGAAACGTATAACTCCAGGGTTGATCAGATCCCGGGGGCACCACCAGTATTGAAAGGCTTGGATTCCAAAAAATTCGTACAAAAGCCCTTACCCCCGAGCACAGCTCCGAAACCAATCCCCAAGAAGTTCCGCATGCCCGAAATTCCCAAATATAATGGAACGACCGACCCCAACGAACATGTCACCTCTTACACATGTGCCGTTAAAGGAACGATCTAGAAGACGACGAGATCGAATCTATATTATTGAAAAATTTCGGTGAAACCCTTTCAAAGGGAGCAATGATATGGTATCATAATTTACCGCCTAACTATATCGATTCTTTTTCTATGCTTGCAAATTCTTTCGTAAAAGCACATGCTGGAGCCATAAAGGTCGAAACCAGGAAGTCTGACCTTTTCAAGGTAAGACAAAAAGATAACGAGATGCTAAGAGAATTCGTATCTCGTTTCCAAATGGAACGGATGGATCTACCACCAGTCACAGATGATTAGGATGTTCAAGCTTTCACTCAAGGTCTAAACGAACAAAGCTCGATGTCTTCACGATGATTGAAGCACAACCTAATCGAGTACCCAGTTGTTACCTGGGTCGATGTGCACAATCGGTATTAATAAAAAATTAGAGTCGAAGACGACCAGTTGGGTTCTGGGTCTGTTATTAAAAGCGACATTAACTAGGAACCAAGGCCGATCAGGGACCGATACCATCCGTATAGCGGAGATCATAGAGGTAATGAACCAAGATGTAACCCCATACAAAGCGATAAAAGAAGTGACCGAGGCCAAGGGTCTCGGGGGTTGATGAACAGGAATGGGTTCGAAAGGCATACCGGACCTAAGGAAGCACCATAGTTATCAAAGTATAACTTCAACATCGATGCATCCGCCATCGTGTCGGCTATCGGACGCATCAAAGATACTAAATGACCTCGACCTTTGCAGACTGATCCTACCCAAAGGAATTCCAATCCAATGTGCGAATATCATGGCACTCATGGCCACAGAACGGAAGATTGCCGGCAACTGAGAGAGGAGGTAGCCTGGTTATTCAATAAAGGGCACCTTCGAGAATTTTTAAGTACCCGGGCCAAAAACCATTTCAAAAATAGGGATTTTAGTAGACAAAATGAATAAGAAGATCTACAACACATCATCCACATGATCATCGGTGGGATCGATACCCCCCAGGGGCCGGTGCTTAAACGCACTAAGATGTTGATTGTAAGAGAGAAGTGATCCCGGACTCAGGATTACGCACCTATAGGAACCTTTTCTTTTAATGATGAAGATGCAGAAGGAGTCATGCAACCCCACAACGATGCACTGGTAAAATCTGTACTTATGAATAAAACTCAAGTTAAGCGTGTGATAATTGATCCAGGTAGTTTGACCAATATTATTAGATCGAAGGTCGTAGAGTAGCTCGTTCTACAGGACCAAGTCGTGCCCGCAACCTTGGTTCTAAACGGATTCAGTATGGCATGTGAAACTACTAAGGGTGAGATAATTCTGCCAATAAACGTGGCCAAAACCATCCAAGAAACGAAGTTTCACGTAATCGAAGGCGACATGAGGTATAATGCCCTTTTTCGAAGACCGTGGATCCACAATATGAGAGTTGTACCCTCGACCCTCCACCAGGTTCTGAAATTCCCAACATCAGAGGGAGTCAAAACAGTCTATGGAGAGCAACCAGCCGCAAAATAGATGTTTGTCGTCGATGAAGTAATTCCGATATCTTCACTATCGTCGACAAAAGGATCGGATTCGAAGGGGGAACGAAATACCAAATAGCAATCACAAACGTCATCTTCGACCTAACTAGAGAATCAGAAGACTGACGAAGATGATAAACACGGGGTCCCTCGATCCTTCATGGTCCCCGATGATTCCTACGCTACCAAATCAACGGTCGAAGAACTAGAGAAAATCACGCTAATCGAACATCTGCCCGAACGAAAGGTATACCTGGGCGCGGGGTTAGATCCCGAGCTGAGGAAAAAGCTTATTCAATTTCCTATAGCTAACATGAACTGTTTTGCTTGGTCCCATCTTGACTTGACAGGGATCCCACCGGGAATCACCACTCATAGGCTAAGCTTAGACCCAAAATTCCATCCGGTAAAACAAAAAAGAAGGCCTCAGTCCGAGGTCAAACATGCCTTCATCAAAGACGAGGTAACCAAACTTCTTAAAATAGGATCCATTCGGGAAGTAAAATACCCTGAATGTCTAGCAAATGTGGTGGTAGTCCCTAAAAAGGGGAACAAACTAAGAATGTGCATAGATTATACCTGAATAAAGCGTGCCCTAAGGATTCTTTTCCTTTGCCTAATATCAATCGTATGATCGATGCCACGTCCAACCACGAGACTCTCAGTTTTCTCGATGCCTATTCCGGGTACAACCAAATACAGATGAACCCGGAGGATCATGAAAAGACCTCATTTATCACTAAGTACGAGACTTTCTGTTATAATGTAATGCCATTCGATCTAAAAACTGCTGGTGCAACTTAGCAACGCCTAGTAAACCGAATGTTCAAAAAGCAAATAGGAAAATCAATGAAAGTTTATATTGATGACATATTAGTTAAATCCCTACTAGCAGAGGACCATTAAAAGCATTTGCAGGAAACTTTCGACATACTCAGGGAGTACAATATGAAGCTCAACCCCAAAAAATATGCATTCGGGGTCGGCTCGGGCAAGTTTCTCGATTTCTTGGTGTCCAATCGAGGAATCGAGATTAACCCCGATAAAATCAAAGATATCGAGGACATCACAGTGGTAGATAATGTAAAGGTCATACAGAGGCTAACGGGATGGATAGCCTTCCTGGGACGATTCATTTCGAGATCCTCAGATAGGAGCCACCGATTTTTCTCTCTGCTTAAGAAGAAAATCAATTTTGCATGGACTCCGGAATGTCAGCAGGCTTTGGAAGAGCTAAAACGATATTTATCAAGCCCGTCGTTGCTTCATACCCCGAAGGTAGACGAACAACTTTATTTGTATTTAGCTGTCTCAGAGATAGCGGTAAGTGGAGTCCTGATTCAAAAAGAACGAGGTACGCAATTCCTTATTTATTATGTCAGTCGAACTTTAGGCGAGGCCGAAACTAGATATCCACACTTAGAAAAATTAGCGCTTGCTTTAATAAGTGCCTCTAGGAAACTAAAACCATATTTCCAGTGCCATCTGATACATGTTGTAACAACTTATCCTCTTAGAAATATTTTACACAAGCCTGAGCTTTCAGGTCGATTGGCCAAATGGGCCATAGAAATCGGCGGGTACGACATCGAGTATCGACCTCGAACCGCTATCAAATCTCAAATCTTAGCGGACTTGACTTTACGCCTGCCTTCGTACCCGAGATTGAAAAGGAATTATCGATAAAATCGGGTACCTATTCGGGAGTTTGGACCCTCTTTACAGACGGTGCATCAAACGCAAAGGGGTTCGGGCTGGGCATCGTACTAAAATCACCCACAGGTAATGTAGTTAGA